CATGCAGCGTCAACAGTTGCGTTGTCGTTCAACACTGTTTGTGAGACTGTCAACCGAATGTTGTTTTTCCTTTTTCCCTGTTTGCAATGTCCGTCGACCGTGAGGCCGTGTTAACTATGTTTGCTTCTATTTTGTGCAAAATATTTATAGTGGCATCCAACATAAGGGATTTTAGGAAACACAAAAGTAAAATAGTGGAAATTAACAGTTTTTTTGTAAAACGTAATATAGTTTTGAATAAAGCCAACTGTTGACGAATGTTGTATATTAAAAAAAATAAATAATTAAAGGTGAATAAAGACAAAGAGTTTACTACATTTTTCGTCACTTGTAATTAAGCGGTAAGTGTATTATTGAATATGCCCAATGAGGATAGCATCATAATCTTATACAATCTGATAAGTAACACACCATGTTTCTTAATATTCGCTACTTATGGTTCAAGACTAAAGTCTTAACAATAAGTAAGAAATTGACAAAAAAATCTAATGCCGAAGGACTTTAGAGTCATAAAGCTGTTTTGTCTCAGAAGTGTTATGAATGAATGTTGAATGAAGAAACAAAACAAAAAGTGCTGTTTAAAATTGAAGACACCGAAATTATACTCTTCCACAGCTGATTAACGTCATAGTCAAGTTTCGAGCATAAATTTTAAATGCATTGTTGCTTCATAACATGATGAGACATTATCGTCTAATGTAAATTTTAACTTGATATAAGCTAGATTGATCTCGATGCGCTGCTATAAAGATTGTTTTTTTAAGGAAGACCCTGACAAAACCCATTGGATTGGAGACATATAAAGAAGATTTCTTGCATTGTTTGCTTCAAAAACAAAAAAACAAGTTCACGGGGTTTTTTTGGAATTTTGTGACCCTCCCATTGCTTTTTTTAAATACACATTAATGTGTATGTAATTGATTCAACTTGCCTTAATTTTACACTGTATATTTCTGACCATAGACTTTTTTTTTAACTAATCTTATGGGCTGCCCTAGACGCTCCCACTTATGTGTAGCGCTCATGTATGGTGGAGGTACTTAACTGAGTGTAAGGTATTCCTCCTATCTTAATCTGACACGCTCGAGTAAATCTCGAAATCCCGTCTAGGGCTCCCCTACTATATTTATCACATACAAATAAAATACATGTTTATAAACTGAAGTAGATATTTTTTAGGTGTAATGCAGTATCCCGAGTATTGTTACTAGTGATCTAATTCATCACTCACTTCACGTTAAATTAATGTGTGGGACTAGCTCTCGGATTGCTGTCACACATTAGGGTCTTCGATATGCATTTATTTTATGCGGTACCGGCAATGGCATCGACACATGCCATTCTAAGAATAAAATTTACTTGACTGAAAAACCCTCGAACTGAAATATAAAGCCTAAATTGAAAGGTGGTAGGATAATAATTTCTTTTTCAAAAGTTTAGCCGACCTTAATTAATAATAATAATAGCTTTACACATATCACACACGGCCGTCTGATTCCAAACTACGCAGAGCCTGTGCTATGGTAACCAGGCTGCTGATAAACATACTTATATATTTCTAAATCCATACATATAGATAAATTCACCCAGACACAGAACAAATCATCACACAATATTTATCCTGGGTGGGAATCGAGCCCTCGACCTCCGGCTTAGCAGTCAGGGTCACTAACCACTAGACCAACCGGCCCGTCAATACTAACAAAGAGCACTAAAAAACTTGGAAGCAATCGCGGTTCATTTGCTGTCATGTTTTGAAGAGTTCTGTTGTCTGTCTCCGAAAGTCATTACCAGACCATTTCAGAATAAACCTCTTTCGAACAAAACTATTTTACCTCCAAAGAATCGCAGACAAATGTTCTCAAACCCTTTTAACGTGAATGTTAATTTTGAAAATGAATTTACTTCGGCTTATTTCCGTCCACTACTCAACGAAAGCGTCTCCCTCAATTGGCACTTACCATCCCGGTCTTGGGCAGTGCGCATCCATCCACTGCCAGCCATGTTCCTCAAGTTGTCAGTCGATCGTGCCGCAGGGCACTCTACACTACGTTTGCCCCATCGTGGTCTCCACTGTAACGCATTTCGGCTCCAGCGACCATCAGTCCGCTTGGAGACATGACCGGCTCACTTCCAGTTCAGCCTACTGAATCTCTGTGTGAATTCGGTACTCCAGTTGTCTGTCGAATCGTTTCAATTCGATTTTTTTCGACAAGAGAAACGAATTGAATTAAGCGTGCAATGCTTGGGCATTGCACGCTCCATCGCACGCTGAGCGACTTTGAATTTGTGGACCAGTCCAACGGTGAGGGTCCACGTATGGGATCTGTATGTCATTATGGGTAATGCTATTGGCACTGGTTAAATGCTCTAGTTTTTAGCGATTGTAGCGATTTTAGCGACTCGAAGATATGACGAAGCTTGCCATATGCCGCCCAGCCCAGACGTATTATTCGATCGAAGTTGTGCCAGGTAGAATAGTTTGGCTAAGATAGATGTATTCTTGCACAACCTCGAAAGTAGCGCCATTCACGGCCACAGGACTCGGGGATACATGTCTATTAAACATGATCTTGGCTTTACCAATGTTCATCTCAAGTCCCACTCGTCTTGAAGAATCGTCTAGGCTGTTAAGCATTTCTCCCAGATCATGTAGAGATTCCGCCAGTATCACTATGTCGTCTGCAAATCGCAAGTGTGAGATGTATTGGCCATTGGTATTGATTCCTCGTCCGTTCCAATCGAGCGTCTTGAAGACGTCTACCAATGCATTGGTAAACAGTTTCTTAGAAATAACGTCTCCTTGTCTAACCCTGCGATGCAATTGAATTGGTCTTGTGCTCTGTTCTTATACTTGGACGGTTAACGCTGCGGCTTCGTATAGACATCTCAGCACTTGGATATATCTGCAGTCGATTAGACATTTCTGCATAGATTCCAGGACAGCCCAGGTCTCGATTCGTCTTCTCAATTATTTGTCTTGATGTGTGTATGTGGTCCGTGGTGCTAAAGCTTTTTCGAAACCTAGCCTGCTCCACGGGCTGGAAGTTATCGAATTTCTGGGTAAGACGATTCGTAATGACCCTCGAGAACAACTTATGTACATGGCTCAGGAGTGATATGGGGCGGTAGTAGGCTTTTGTCTCCCTTTTTGAAAAAAACAGTACTATATTGCCAGTATGTATGACGGAATTGAACAGCTTTGCGAACTCTACTAACATAGGAGTTCCTCCGGCTTTTAGGAGCTGTGTTGTAATTCCGTCTTCCCCCGGGGCTTTGTTATTACTAAGTTGTCCGAGCGCCATTCTAATCTCGCCCAAATCGAAGTCAGGAAACTTTCCTGTGGCGTGTCAGTCTAGCACGTGGGTCATCCTCGCTGTGGGGTTCAGGTGGGCGGATTTTGCGGGGTGTATAGGTCCTCATAGAACTTTTCGACTTCAGCAAGAATCTCTGTTTTAGAGGTGACGGTGGTGCCTTGTACTGTTCTGAGTTTGGACAGATAATAACAGGAGGCCTTAGGTTTGGCAAAGACTGTTGAGCCCTTGTTCCGAGCAATCGCCTCCTCAATCGCTTGAGTATTCGATTGTCTAATATCTCGTCTTATTGGCCTCTTTACCTGCCTGTTAGTTCCTAACGCTCAGATGGTGTGGCGTTTACTGCTTCTTGTCTATTCCTCATCAGATCCAGAGTCTCGCTGGTGAGTTTCGACTTGAGTAGAATGCTCTTCGGTTGAAAGTGTTTATAGCCCACCTCGCGAATGACATGTACCAGGCTGTCGATGGCGTCGCTTACGTCCTGCATTTTGCAAATGAATAGAATATTATTATTGGTCAAAAGAAACAAAATTCTAAATAAACTGATTTAATTATTTTCTCATTAATAAGGTTGCCACTTTACATCTGCAATAAAGATTGTACGACAAACTAGGGGTTAACTGTCCAATTGTCAGGCCTAAGCAACGCTCTCAGGACATTTTATGACATTATTATGTCAGATCATTATCGTAATCATTTGCTTTTAAGAAATGTTAGATCATTGAATACTAATGGGCTTGTAATAACAAGAGTACGGTATAATTGATATTGAGTGGCTCGTAGCTAAGTGGTAACCGAGTAGGTTGACACTTTGCAAAGTTAAGTAATAATGGCCAGTTCAGTCTATGGAATGGTGACCATTTCTAACCACATTTATACCGGGAGGGGTTGCTATACGAATATCTATGGAGATCTTTACGGGTAGTTGGACTCTCACTACAGAACTTCGATATCGTGTACTTGGATTGTGGAGGTCTGATGGCAATCGCTCCGGCTTAAAAAGCGAAATTCTGACGTATCGTAGTAGACTTAAAGCCGACCCCAACCTAGTTTGAGAAAAAGGCTTGAAAAAGATTTTTGACAAAGAGAGACAGAGAGAGAGTGAAAGAGAAAGACAGAAAGAGAGAAAAATCGATATTCATATCCAAAAAATATTATTACTGTTGGTCTAGTGTAGTAGTGTAGTCTTATGCATATCGAAATTATTTATCTATTTCATGTCTATGTCAAAGGTAAAAAAAAAACAGATACTATTTTAGTGTTTAATTTACAAAAACTATAAAATACATACTACGTTATGATTAAACCACCACATATTTATTGACACATTATCTCGCTTTCGAACAACTATAAACGACAACTATAAATAGTCCACATTCCATGAATTCATTTCACCGTGAAGCATTTCAAAGATAGTTTACGAAACGAACATTTTACAGTGACGTGTCTGTAAAATATACACCGGACTTAATGCGCCAGTCATTTGTTTAAATAATGGTTTCGATTTTTTTTACAGAATTAGATGATTGATTTAATCAAATCAAAAGTTTTTTTTTTTAGTTTTAGACATACCATTTTTTTATACCAGTAATTTCTAAACAATCTTCCCTGTTATATTTTTAATTACTTGATCTATTTCCACTAACCAAAAGACTAGAACTCATAAATAGAATCAAATTTTTATTTTCACGGAACTGTAACCGGTAAGAACATTTGAGGATCTCCCAGTTTTGGCTCAAAACGTATATTTACTTTAGTATCACCGTCGCCAACTTCCAGAAAACTATTCCAATCAAGCATCCAATAGAAACCGTTCTTTTTTGGTGGTGGCAACTCAGAGTCACCTGGTTGTGGAGGAACTGCTCCACCAAAAGATGCTTCAAGATCTGAAATGGAGGCGCCTGTATCGGCATCTACAGATACTGATTCACTCACAACATTTGTTTTAGGTTCTTCGGTAGTAGTCGAAGTAGTGGTGGTAGATTCTTCTTTACTTTGCTTTGTAGTTGTTTCATTAGTCGTAACTTGCCTTTTACTCTGATCATTACTACTACTTATCTGTTCGCTTATAGGATTAATTCCTTTGTTAAGTGGAATAACTTTTACTGACTCGTATTCAATTGGGTCGTAATTTAATGCTGTTCCTGATTTATATTTTTTGACTGGCATGTCAAAAGGTATGCTGATTTCCTTTGTTTCTGACGACGAAGCATCTAACTCGAATGGCAGCTCTGGCCGGAGCGGTGAATACAAAAAGTTGCTGGGTGACATTGAATATGCAGCTTCATTTTTCGTGTTGGAATCGCTGGTTGGTGATATAAGATCATAAGTCAGTAGAATATTCTCAGGTAAATCAACTGTACCATCTACTATTTTTACTGGTGGCATGGGTTTGAACCCTTCAAGGGGCAGTAAAAAATTGTCTTGTCCTGGTTTTCCTTTTAAACCATGAGCATCAAGAAATGCTTTTAATTCATCAGGGAAATTGGTAATCAATTCTGTTGATAACCCAGCATTATCTGGATAGTTTTCAAATGGTTTTGACGTTTTAGGTTTTACTGTTGTACTTGACTCATGCACTACTTGGACTCGTGGTGGTCTAGTATATAATTCTTGCAACGATGACCCATCTCGTGGAGTATAGGGTAGTACTACCATTAGTGTAGGCTTACTCGTTGTAGTTGTTTCAGGATCATTTAGTTCACTTTCATCATCATCAGTAGCTATATTATCTGGTGTATGGTGTGCTTGCGGGTATAATTGTTGTAGTAAGAAACTTTTTTCTGATGTCAAGAGCGGGGGCTTATTTTTTTTCTTTGGTAGTATATTTATACTTGGTGGTTCTAAGGTTGTTACTGGTATATCTTTGTTGTCACCTACTATATTTTCTAGTATGTTTGGCAGGGGTAGGTTTACTTCATTTATGATTGCACTGTACTGTAAAGGTATTTCACCCGCACTAACTGCTTCCTCTGGTTCTTTTGTTGATGTTGACGATTTTGAATCTTCAGACCTTATGTCGTTTAATAATTCTAGAATTTCATCTCGGGTAAGTCTAGGGAGCTGTTGGTTTGCCTGGAGTATGCTTTGAACTTGTTTGACAGTCTTTTCCACGTCAATTGCGGCAAAAGACACTGCCACAAATACTGCTAATAAGCAGCACCAAATGAGTTTCATTATCTGTAACAAACAAACAACAAATAAATAATTAATTAAACCAAATAACTAAATTGATTTATCGGTTGAATTAGAATTGAGAGAAATATTGTGCAGATATTTTGGAATCAGATATCGGAATTATCTTAGTTAGTTAAGAAATCTATATATTTATGGTAAAATTAGATTTTAGTTAAGTTAAAAAAGGCAGAACATTAATTCCGAGTATTATTTACAAGAAAATTGCGCCGTCTTATATCTCTCTTTCTATCAAGGTTGCATTTCAAATTAGCATGGCTTGCCATATTTTGTATTCATGTAGTTACCTAACACTATGACTAATCATTTTACGTTTGTTCAAAGTACAAACATAAAATTAAACCTAGTCATAGTAAACATAATAGTTCTTTACCTATGAAACTTTCACTTATTGCATACAAAACGGCAATTTCATAGGTAAAAACCTATTATAAGTGATCGTACTATTCAGTATACACCATGTAACTTGACTTACTAAATAAAAACCATCGAGAAAGTAAAAGTAACTGTATAAGCAGAGACGGAGTTATCTCAGTAATTACAGTTTGAGTTACATAACAGCACCATAATCGTAATTCCCCAAGTTGGCAAGGAGCGCCAAGATATCGAGAAGTTGTTATCGTTTCAAAGTTTGGATCGCTCTTAAGTCGGCCCATTCACATCTGCACTGTATGGTAGGAAAAATGTTGATGTTATTTTTAAGTTCCGGTTGAATAAACACGTGTTACATTTAATGTAGCAATTTTTTTATCGTCTCATAAACTATAGATCCTTTTAGATCTATTGCATACTTTATTTAATGCGATCATGAAGTTCCACCAGAACTATTCGGCAAGTCGTTTTATTAATTGCGTATTAATAGTACAAGCAAAAACCATTCCAGAATCCAAATTCAACATACATGTACTCACATCTTTATCCTTTAAAGGGATAGACATTAAACGCCCATATTTCGCGTCTATAGTTTAGCCCTATTTACGAAATTGGGTGCCTATTGCCGTCAACCAGGCACATATATTTCTTAATACATACATAGTCTAGATATAATAATTAACTGTACTTTGTTCGTCTTGTCAATACTAACTCCATTCTAATTGAAAATAGAGATGAGAGATGAAATTGTTTACTGACAGTAGTAAGCGAAAATTAATGATATTTCTCACAGACACCAAACAGTAAACAAATACAGTTATTGACTCTCTGGAACAGACACTGGTTTCAGGTTGGAAATCCTTTTAGATCGTTCTAAATAAGAACAGTATTTTTTTATAAAGCAGCCCTTTAGAATTAAGTCGGAGTTTTAAATTACATTCAGTGATTTTACTTTGAGATAAAAGATCGTCGAGAGAGCGTTTCTGGGAATTTGAACTTGAAGTCTCAACAGGCTAAAGGTAGGCCTTTGGATTTTCCTGTCTAAAAGTTGATCGCTAATAAATACTCGTATCGGCTTTTAAAAGTTTTTACACATCTTCCTTTCAGCAATAACAAATCAGAATAATGTTGAATTAGGAACTCAGTGGTAATTATATGACTTACATTATTCTTTACTTCCTTACATCATTTCTAATAATTGATCACTACAACTATCAAAGTAGTTTGCCTTTATCTTAAAAACTATGCTCAAATGTATTCCCATTAAATGTCAAAATCATAATAATATTAATAATAATTAAGGCATTAATCTCACACACGGACTATGAGTCTACACTGGTGATAATCATGCTCATATATTTTTAAATCCACAACTACTCGCTCAGCAGACAGGTTCACTAAACACTAGACCGAAATTCTAGTGACTTATGTTTGTAATTACGTTGTCAAAATCAGAATCCAGCTTGCAATTTTGCCCCAATACTTACACTGTAGAAGTATAGAGGACTGCAATAAAAAATATTCCATAATAAAATATTATATATTTAATTATCTATGAAAAATACAATACTTCGCCAATAGCAGGCACCATTAAAAACGTATTCCCTTTCAGTCTCGGTGGGTATATCCAATTCGTATGGCCCATGAATATTTAACCACACGCCATACAAAATCGAATCAAATCTGTGAGTCCCACAAATCTTATCACGGATTGCGAATATTTTGCAGCTATCATATTTCGGTATTATGAGACAGAATTATCTGTATCGGGTTTTTCTTCTATTGTTATTTTTTTGCAACAAACAACAATATAACTGGTTATCTTACATATACGTATTTTGGATAATTTTATTCAGATAAATTCTCTCTCTCTTGTTACAATTCATCAATAATACGAAGGAATGTATTACAAATAAGTCGTGTGAATGTTTTAGATTAGTATCTTAGATAAATGTAAACAAACACAAAGTTTTAGGTATTTGTTTATGTAATAATAATAATATTTCACACATCTCATTAACGGTTGTGTGATCTCAAACTGTACGACGACAATTTGCACTCTGATAAAGGTAAAAAGCATTTTAATAATAATATTTCTAAATACATGCTATTACAGATAATGGAGACACACAGACACAGAACAAATGATCCCACGACCCCACCAACTTAGCAGTCAGGATCGATCACTATATATCAGTGTACCTGTTAATATTAATTAATTTTGTCCTTGCTCGTGACTGTAAAATTATTTAAAACGATTAATTCATTACTGTAGTCGTCAAGCGGTGCTGACTCTTCACGACACATGACGTCACAAAAGACTTTCTACGACCGGTCTCATTACCACTTATTACGCTATTGTGACGTAATATCTCTCTCGTTACACTGTAATGAGCTTTAAAGTAGTCTGACATCAGGTTTATGAAAAAATGTCTCACTAGATTTTATTACAATAAATATATAGCGTGTTTTACAGCGTAAAGTTGCATTTTAATGGTATACAACCGGTACTCTGCCACGCTTCGCTTTGGCACATTGTGGTTGCATTGATGAGCAATCTATACTAATATGATAAAGCTGAAGAGTTTGTTTCTTTGATTGTTTGAACGCGCTAATCTCAGGAACTACTGGTCCGATTTGAAAAATTCTTTCAGTGTTAGATAGCCCATTTATCGAGGAAGGCTATAGGTTATATATCATCAGGCTAAGACCAATAGGAGCGAAGCACCAATGAAGAATGTTTCAAAAAAAAAAGAGAAAATTTATTACTATTGAGAGACGCAGACGAAGTTGCGCGTGTCAGCTAGTGAGAAATAAAAATAAAGCGGTAAAACCAACCTTTAAAGCGTATGTAGTATAAGTGTAAAAGTGAACTTGCGGTTATTAAACATAGTTGTACCGAACAATATTTTTGATAGGATAGTTGGACCAGGATTAACAGGTCTGTTAGTCTAGTGGTTAGTGACCCTGATTGCTCAGCCGGGGGACGTGGATTCGATTCCCACCATTTCGACAAATATTGTGTGATGAGCACGGTCATTTATTCTGCATATGTCTGGGTGTAATTTCTCTATAATATGTGTGTATTTAAAAATATATAAGTATGTTTATCAGCAGTCTCGTTACCATAGTACAGGCTCTGCCTAGTTTGGGATCAGACGGCCGTGCGTAAAATGTGTGAGATATATTATTATATTGGAAGCCAGGAGAGTTTCTGATGAAGCAGGTACAACGCTCAAAGTATGTCGAGGTCTAATAGACGCTCCTGATCTTCACAGTGAGCTAATTCGACTTTATGTCCCTGATAACTATCTCCGAGGCAGATAACACCGACTATTAGCCATACCCATGTGTCAAACAGTCGAGCGCACCTCATCTCCTATCCCACGCGTACTATCTCTGTTCATCGCCATCGTGGAATCCTACCCGGACTGAGATCTATTCGGTGATAAATATCACGAAACCATGATTTGCTGTTGACTTTCTGTCAGTCTTGTATAATCATAATAAATAAGTTTTGTTTTTATGTATGTTAAGGTATGTAATATTAAGAATTTAAGTTTATTTTGATATAATTTTAAGAAATTTTAAATGTTACTCTTAACTAATTTTAATCAATTAAATAAATAAAATTTGGGCTTAATCGCTGCACAACTTTTTAAAATTTTGAAGCGTACACAAACCAACTAAACATTTATATTAAACAAGCACACGGAATGCCTGACGGTAGGTGACGTCTGCCGTCTATGGACCTTTAAAACTCGAATGACACAAGTGCATGATCGCGCTTTGAGTGTTTATTGTTTTCAACTTTATTTTAATGAGTTACAGTTGAATATCACTCTTTGTGAACACTAGCTATAAAAACGACCAATAGATTAAAAAAAAAGGAAGTGTTACATTAACGATAAAACATTTTGTATTGTAAGGCATTTATAAACATAATTTAAAACCAGTCAAGAACAAATATAAATAGAGAGGACAAAAACTCGATTTCCGAATCCGGTTTCGAGTCCGCTATTCGGAACGGAACTAGAAGATCAGCATAAAAATAGTGCGGTTATTCACACTCATACGTTTAATAAAAGGGGTACCCATTTAATAAATATGAGAGCTTTCTCATATTGTTGACCTTTATTTTACACAAGTTTCCTTAAACTTATTTTACACAAGTTTACTTAAACTTGGGTAAAATAAAGGTCAACAACCATTTCAATGAAACTGAAAGTCCGGAACAAATTGTTGTGCAAAAATATCACGAGTATTGTGTGTAAGAAATGGTAATAATTTAAAAATACCTAACCTTCTACGAGTACATGTTAAGAATTAAGGAGGCTTCGTGCTTCAGGCGGTAACTGTCGAATATGCATCTAGTAAGTGTTTCTAAATAGTTGTTATATATTGTAAAATGCAAACAAAAAATGTCACGTTCCATTTAGATTTTGCACTTCCCAGCCGTTAAAATGATTTAAATCTTGGGGAACTCAACTAATAGGGATTGTTTTTATAGCAAAAAGTGTAAACAGGTAATGCAATGGAGTGATTTGGACCTCCGGAGGGGCTTAAGAATTGACTAAGTGAGCAAACTACGCAGGACAACACCGCTGCAAAGA